GTAGATATTTGTGGAGTGAAGAGATGAAGGAAGGCAGGCAGGCAGGAGGAGGGCAAGTAATAAGACACAAGCAAGGCATAAGGTAAGGTGGCACACTTTCAGGTCTTTGCAAGTGAAGTAACCACACCCGTTAGAGAGGAAAGTTGAACAAAGCAATGATTTTAGGTGGTGGTGGTGGGGTGCTTGATAATCTGTTGGGTCCCTATTTCCTTCCTGATAGAAAGGTGTTGATTTAGGAGAGAGCCAATATGTGTAACGCACTGGCACCTACTCCTGCAAGATGATCAAGTTGAAGGGAGCCATAAAGCATCTACATTGTGAGCAGGGCGTGGTGGTGTATGCCTGTAATCTCAGCACTCGGGAGGCTGAGGCAGGAGGATCGCTGTGAGCTCCACACCAGCCTAGGCTACATAGTGAGTTCCAGGTCAGTCTCAACTACATAGTGAGACCCTGTCTCAAAAAAACAAAACAAAACAAAAGAATCTACATTGTGGAAGGAAGAAAACAATAAGGGAAAGGAAAAAACAAATAGTGAATAGTGACCTGGGACTCAGCAGCAGGTAAGGCTGATTACCACCATGATTATGGATTGTTAGTTTGCCACTGGCTACTTTAGAGCACTCTGCTAGTTGCTGAAATCACAAAGTATAAGGTCAGGTTCTTGCCCTCCTGAGGCTTCCAACCTAGGAAATCACACTGGGGAGAAGAAAAAGAAGTACTGAAGATTGCAAACCCAGCACTGATGGAGACTGAGGCAGGATGATCTCAAGTTTGAGTCCTGTCTGGGAAATTTAATGAGACCCTGTCTCAAAATAAAAAAATAAAAAGGGCCTGGTTTAATCACCAGCTACACACACTCACACACACACACACACACACACACACACATACACACACACACACATGCACACACAAAACAGTGAATTCTTACTATTTGTTTAGCACCGGAACAAATGTTTAAAGATATTACATCAAGCATCATCGCTCTCCAAGGTGGAACGAAGGTTCAAGTGGATTCAGAAATGTCTTCTCCAAACAAGTGCGAGAAGAACATAGGCCTGTGTGACTGAAATGGACTTGTGCTGTGTCTAGGAGGGTAAAAGCGGCGTGTAAGCAAGCAAAAGGGATAGTTAACATGACCAGGTCGCCGAGGTTCATGGTCAGATGAATGATATTTGTTTGTTGCTACAGGAATCTAAAATAAAAGAGACTTAGCGAGGCCTCAGGTGGAAGGGAAATTTTACAAAGGAAGATCTTCAACCAGGAGCCATGGTAGAATTCAAATCCAATAAGAATGATGAGAGAGGCATGCCCAGTGGAAGGAGTCATGGAGTGTAGAAAGGTGGAAAAATTCTCTCCTTCCATTCTGTGGGTTTCTTTCTTTAATATCTATTTGCTGTTGGTAAGTATCACAAGGACGGGGCAAAGTCTGTTCATCTCAGCACCTTCCTTGTAGGGCCGGAAGAGTAGGCACTTAATACATCTTCATTAAGTGGATGAAAACATAAATGTATGGATGAATAGATGAATCATGGATTAATGAATAATGCTATCTGCTTCTATGTCATGACTCTAAGCCTCTTAGGGAAAATGTCTCTTTTTTTCTGGTGAGGGGCCAGGTTGCTGAAGTGGAAGTTTTCAGAGAATGCAGTTAAAGAATCACAAGGCTTCTACAGGTCACCAGAGAGCACCAGGTCTCCCGTCTGCCTCCTTGAGCAGGAAGGAAATTACACAAGCTTCCAGTGCACCTGGCTTTAGGCTTTCACAACCCAGCCTTTTCTGTCTTGTGTAATTCTGATGTGCTGCTTCACTGGTGTGACTTGTGGTGTGCTCAGTGTACAATGACACTGCATGATCTCCACACTGCCCAGCAGTGACCCCGAAGGATGTCTAGACTTGCCAGTAATTGAGTCTGATAATTAAATGCGAGGCAATAACTCTTTAGGTGGAGTCGCGGAGGAGGAAAGGAGATAAATAGATGCTCTAATATTCAGCAGATTTGCTACATTCTACGATAAGTGGAAGCACAGAGAATTGGAGCACACAGAGGATATATGGCTCAGCCTGACACGAAACAATGTACACATGGTTGGATGATATTTATAGCTTTGCAAAGTATGATTACATAAATCAGCTCTTCTTGTAGTTGTGGAAATCTCCATGTAGTTGTGGAAATCAGGGAACTATAGATAACATTTGCATTCATATTTGTTAGAAGCGTAGGAGAGAAAGAGAAAGAGAAAGAGACTGAGGCCACGGAGAGGAAATAGCTCAGGATACTGCTCTGGTTTCAGTGACTTAGGCCATTTGTGCTGCTATAACAGAACAACAGAGACTGGGTAACTTACAAAGGAAAGAGCTTTATTTCTCATTGTTGTGAAGGCTAGGAAGTCCAGTTATAAAGTAGTAATAGCTGGTGGGGGCTTCTTGCCACATGAACCCATGGAAAAAGAGGAGAGGCTGGGAGAGGGAATGTAGGGGGCTTGCTCTGTTGTAACATACCCACCCATCATTAATCCATTCTTGGGACCAATTTACCTTGAGGCCTCATGGTCCCTCAGGGCCAAAGCACCTCTTATTAGGCCCAGTTCCCATAACTGTGGCATTGGGGATTAAGTTTCCAAACCATGCTTTTATTTGGGGCGAGGGAGAATATATTCAAACCTCAACAATGACAGATATGAACTCACAGCCCGGATCTCATGTCAATCAGATTAGGGACTTTCTTCCAAACTTGCCTTGACGTTGGCCAGTAGTGGGAATGCTCCACCTCCGTAATGTGTTTCCAGTGTACTTTCATCATGGAATATCAGGACAGAATAAATCAGAGGCTGGTAAACTGAGGGTCCATTGCCTGCTTTTGTGAATAAAGTTTAAGTGAAACAGCCATATTCATTCGTTTACTATTATCTATGGCTTTGACAAAGCAGAGCTATGTAGTTGCAACAGAAACCGTATGGCTACCAAAGTTTGCACTGCTATTATCTAGTCCTTTGCAGAATGAGAATGGTCCTGAAACCCAAATGAGAATCTCACCCTGGACAGGTGGCTGTTTCATTTGTACTGGCCCTGTTTCTGCATCTATCCTCTCACTTGATATGGTTGCTGTACAAGTTCTAAGAACTGAGGGATATAAATCAGTTATGATTTGGCTTGGTGCCATGTGACAGAAAACACAGAATAAAAGGACAGTGCTTTCTTTCACATGGAAGTCTGGAAATGGGCAATTGGGTGTTGGTCTGGTCTGGTGTGCATGGTTAGGAATCCAGGTCCACTCACCTTGCTGAACTGCCATGTGTAGTTTGAAATCCTTACCAGGTCCAAAATAGCTGCTGGAGCTCCAGCCTCTAGACTACTGTTGCTCTTTATGATGTGAGAGGAAACCAAAAAATCAAATACACAAAAATGCATAAAAACAAAGCCAACCATAGAGGCCAGACAGCAAAACCACACTAATTCACATCTAGCCAAGGTGAACACCATTGTTACAGTTCATATGGTGGGGTATCACACTCCATGTATTCCATTCCTAGGAAGATCGGCAAGCAATGTCTTATTGTAATCAGCACTTAGCAAAGCATTTTCATATCTTTTATCTCATTTGCTCTTTATAAGGCTGTGGATTGTAGAGATGACCAGGCCTTAGTATTATCATCCCGGTTGTACACTGGATTTGCTGTGCTAAGGAAACAGATCGCAGAACCTGGAGCTCCTTCTTTGGATCATTGTTAGAAATGAAAAGGTGAAAAATCATGGTGTGGAAGAAAGAAAATGACCCCCGTTCAGGATCTCTGTCGGAGAAGGGGTGTAGACAAGGCACTGCTCCTGTGCCTTCAGTCTCACAGCCTCAGTCAGCCTTCCCTGTAACACCGAAAGCACTGCACTTGTTTATTTAGGGATGTCTCAAAAGAGAGCAGACAATCTTAACATATCTGGAGTGAGCCCAGTCCATGGAAATCATTGTTACAATAGGGAAGTCTTAGCTCTCAAAATCCAAAGTCGCTCCTTTCCTTGGGGCCCATTTCCTTCCTAGGGTGACAGGCTTTTGGAGTTAAGGACACTAAGCTATCTTCCAAATCTCAAATTCTCTGTGCCTGGGAGCATGGCTTTTTGATGGGAGGAGCTCAGGTTGGAATTTTCCCGCTGGCTGCTGCTGTTTGTCCCGGAAACAGACTTCGAATCTGTAGAACAGGGATAAGCAGCATGAGGCTTGTAGGAAAGGTTGAGGACAGGACATGGCTCACAGGCAAGGGCCTATCCTGGAGATTTACACAGTGCCATGTCTACGTCAGCGAGCTGGCTACAGGTTGAAGTGAGTTCTCCAAGACATCAGCAGGGGACCAAAGCTAGGCCCAAAGCCAGACCTCAGGGGTTGGAGCATTCCATGGTTTTGTTACTATTGACCCCGGCCTGCAGCGATCCTTCTGTTCGGTGAAGAGTGGAGGAGCGGAAAGACAGAAAAATGGGTCAGGCACACTCACGCGTCGTGGGCTGCACAGTCTGCCTGCTGCGAGTGTTTTGCGAGGTCCACAAGCAGGGGACACTTGGGGACTGAGCCCAGGCATGCCTGGGCGGGGCCTGGGTGGCGATGGCCAATCCTGGGCGCCGTTGGAATGGCCAATCAGGGCACGTGTTGCATTCCTGCCCGCGCGCCCTTCACCCGTCTCTCCTGAGGGGACGTAAGTGACCATCCTCTGCCACGTGCGCGGCGGCGGGCTGGGCTGCGAGCGGAGGAG